AGTTTAATCATGTTAATTTTTATTAAGATAAAAATTTTAATTTAAAAACATTAAAAATTTATATTTTTATAACACTAAATAATTAATTTTTTGTATGTAACAAATAAAATAAAATAAAATAAGAACTCAGATGCATACGTAATGAACAATCCAGATGTATAAGCCAGATTTGTAATTATACAGAAGAGAAAAGGCAAAATACCCAAATCTACCCTTAAAGTATAGTGACAGGGACGGATCTACCCTCGAACATAAAACGGGAATAAATCCACCCACAAAATTTTTAAGTTGGACAAATCACCTCAAATTTGATGTGTGATGTCATTTGACATCAGCAATTCGTTAATTCGTTAACGGATTATTAACGTCAGATGATGTCAAATTAATAGATTACTGATATCAAATGATGTCACACGTTAAATTTGAGGTGATTTGTCCAAATCAAAAACTTTGTGGGTGTGGATCTGTCCGTGCCATTATACTTTGAGGGTGAATTTGGATATTCTACCCAGAGAAAAAGAGTAGAAAAGAATAGCCTCAATTTTACTGACAATTCAAATGTAGCTTCATGAATGTTTTCATCAAGAAAGCAACGTTTTGGGGGGCTGAAGATCAGTACCTGAAAACAATTCAGTTTTGATAATGCAAATACAACAGCAGACGTATGGAAAAAAGTACACTTCCTTCTCTGCAAGGAGAGAACAAAATTTCCCATTTTAATGGGGATATATAAAACTTATGACTTCCGGGGCCGTCCTCTCTCACCGGTTTTCCCCGAAGTGGATTGCACGTTTTTACCAGAAGAAGGTGGGCGACCCCTCCCACGCCGACTACCTTTTCCCCGTAGCATTTTTTTAGGGCCTTTACCTCGACCCCTGCCGCGCTGCCTCTTCTTCTCAGCCTGCCCATTGGACTGTTCTTCACTACTGTCACTTGCCACGTCACTACTCTCATCGTCCTCTTCATCTTCTGAAGCAGAAACCTTCTTTGACTTCTTCCGCTTCTTTGTGTCTCTGGATGCCTTAGTAGCACCTTTTCTATTATTTTGCTTAGAAATTGGACTATTGTTCACAGGTTCCTTGCTCCCTACTGGGAAAGTAATGTCTATGTTGGTTACAGCCTAATGTGGAAATCATTGATCATATTCAACAGTAGACGCTATAACCCCATTGACATACCTTCACCAGTAGGTTTGTTGCCATAAATGTCAAGCTGTCAAAAACACAAAACATTAAGACACATTTATTTAGATATAATAACTACATCAAACCAGACCAAAACTATCTATCCTTGAG